TGCTTGTAATAGTGCGGAATGTGAATATTAATATGTATACTTTTTCTGCTTTCTCATTTCTTTGTACTCAAATGTGACCTTTGAAATTGATATCCATGTTCTCATAAGGATTAATCAGATTAACACAATACTTAAGCAAATTGGTTAATTTGGGATATTTGAAGACCATACATTATACAAATGGTGCATTTGCTTAACACTACCTGTCTAGCCTGTGGGATTCAGAAACCTGTTGTGCTGATTTTGCTATGGTGGTACCAACTCCCAAATATTTTGATTGTTGGTGATATTCTTTAATCAAGAGCTCTGTGTAAGGATGGTATATTGCCAACAGTACAGGGTAAAGAACTTCATATCAATATCTGTTGGAATTACCTAACCTCCCATCTCCTCTTCAGATGCCATCTTTATCCAAGAAAATATTGAGGCTCTTTATCAGAGGGGGAGTTTTGCCTTTTGTTGGATCTTTTAGGAATGATATTTCATCATGGAAACTTTCTTTTGCATAATCTTTATCAAATATAACTTTGTTTGATTGGGCACCTCGGGGTGGTGTAATGGTTAGCAAGCTTGTCTCGCTGTAACAATTACAACTGTGTCGTGAGTTTGATCCTCACTGGGTGCCCCATACTTTTGGCCTTGTGCCACATCTGAGCTACGCTTGGAAAATCACTATACCTTTGTTTGATGCAGGTGATTAACTTGATTCCTTTTCCTGCATTTTTGAATGAATTTTAACACTAACGATGTTACTTTTATCACCTTCTTCCAATTAGAAAATCTAATAAATGGCACTACAGGTTTCTCTGAGACTTGTAAATTATTACAGAAAACTTGTGGACACATGCCGCTGGCTGCTGATGGCATACCTCTCATTACTGTTTGGTGACAATGCAAAGCTCTTATACAACTGCAATGCAAATGATGAGACCATATTTTTTGATTTGTCAGACATTTTTGTCTGACTAGAGGCCATATAATTTTTGAATTTTTTTTTCATACCTGAAATTTTTTCACATAAATGGACAGCAGCTTAAAAAATACTCTTTCTTAATACCTTTCTATTCATTCTGTCTTGATCAATTTTTTTTTCTTTCTTGCCAACATGCCAATATATTTGCTTTGGTATATATAAATATACACACATTTTTAACAAAATATGGGATTTTTGACAACTTCCATATCAAGTCTGTCATTCAAACAAAGATTGTTTTGTCTTGGGGCCATCTGCAATGTTTTCTTGAGAAGCAGGCCTTGCTTGGGTGCCATTCCTTGGAGTCAGTTGTAAGACATCTAACTCCTTTAAGATCTTGTGTTGCAGTGATCTTAGCATTTGTAATTACCTACCAAATAGGATTTGGGGCAAAAACTGTGTTATACCATTAAAAGTAGATAATAGAATCTTCCAATAGCAGTAGGAGTAAAGGGAGATAACCTAATTTTTTTTATAATGCATTGGCTAAGATAAATTTTCCTTTTGTCTTTATTCATACATATACAGAAATTCCTTGATTAATAGATTTTTGATTAGTGCACTAAAATTTTTATATGCCAAAATTTGATTAGAGTATACATAATACTTGATTTGTGTGGTAAAAGATTCTTTAGTTTCATCATGGTAATTGAAAATTTATTTTTTTATAGTTACCAATTAATTAAAAATTTTCTAAAATTTAAAAATGGAAAAGGAGTAACTATTTTGTTTTTCAAGTATTGTTATCTAAGTAATTACAGTAGTGTTAAAAAATGGATTATTATAAATAGATAAATTTTATAATATAAGCTGATAAAAAAATACATATTTGAATATTTGTCTCTATCAAAATTTTTTGAATATTTTGACTTTTTTTATGTTTATTTTGAAGGTCTTAAAAGGAAATTTCTGATTTTTTTTATTAAAAGAAATGTACGATTTAATTAGATACAGAAATTTACATTTATTAAAAAATATTGAAATAATTCGCAAATACACTTTTAAGTAGGCGCCCAAGGGGATCGTCAGTGATGTTTTTGACTTGGTTCATCAGAGAGTTTCGGGTCTTTCAACATCATACTCCCCATCACCAAATCGACCCAATCAGGGGTGATCAACCCCTGATTCCCCCTTTTAATTAAACACTAACAGCCACTCTGGTCTTTTTAAAGAATAAGAGGAAGAAAGACCACATATTCCGCACATCCGATTGGATGTTTGTAACAACCAATCCGGTGCGCAAAATATCTTTTAAATGGCCCGCAGTGAGGACTGGCTTCTTTTCTTATTTCGGTGGATTGCGGTTTCGATGGATAACCGAGGAGGTAATCTTGACGTTCCTAAATCTTCTCCTTAAGTATTGTATGATTTAATTCTTTGCCGTTTTTATTTTATTTCTACTTTTTCTTTTCTTTTGACGAGGATACTTAAACTCAACCCTATTATCATATTTTATCGTTTAGACTGTTTCTTAACATTATTGCATGTTAACTTTTATTGGATGTATTCACAAAATTAAGATAATAATTGTCCATAAACATGGCGTAATATATATATATATATATATATATATATCCCGTACATGCAAAAATGAAATTAAAAATAAAATAAAATAAAAGTACAGTAAGCACTATAATATTCCTTAATATTATTGATTATATACAAATTTGAAGTCATTAAATATAATAGACAACGAAATGATCTTGAAGTAAATCAAGTATTAACGAAGCTTCATATTATATTTATATATATGTATCGCTTAAAACCGCTGACAAACAAATAAAATAAAAATAATATACAAATATATATATGGTAATGATTGAGAGAAAAACACTATAAATACACTATATACGTGGTTATGATTCTGATTTAAAATACATAAAAATGCGAAATGTTTGTATAAATGTGAAATTGAAAAAGACAAAAGGTCTTACGTTACGTTCGAAAAAAAAAAAAAAAACAGACAAAAAGGTCTTACGTCCGAATAAAAAATAAAAAAAAAGAGAATAATGGACAATGTCTTAAGAGATGTGTCGCACCGAAACCACTAAAAAGTTAAATAGTAACTTAAAAAGTACCGCATATAACATGGGTTTAACATAAAAACAACATATTTACAAATAGCACAATTTACGAATTGACGAGATATATTCTTTGGCTGTACATATCAATTCGTATATTTACATACATACTCAAAAAAAAAAAATAAAATAAAATAAAATAAGTAAGTAAAATAAAAAATTAATTAAAATAAAATAAAAAATAATAAAAATGTTTACAATAATGCCATGTTGCAATTATATTAATAATATTTACAAATTTGCCCGGCTTGATGATTGTTTGTTACATTGATGTCCAAGGGCTATCACGCTTAATCCATAACCATTTTGCTGTCCTTTTTGCTGTATTATTTATGGTCTGGATCACCTTTCTTTTGTTAGCACCTACTATGCCAATGTCCGTTAGAGCTTTGCATAGGGACCTTGCAGCGAAACCCCTTACACCCACTTCGATTGGCAAGCAGCTTGATTTCCACCCGTTGTTTTTGCAACTCGCTATTGGTTTTTGCAGCTCGCTATTAGTTCGTCATCTTCCGTTCGTGGGCTTCTTCTGCATGCTCTTCCCAAGGTACTGTCAGTTCCCACATTATTACTTTCTTAATGCTATTAGAGAAGAATACTAAATCTGGGCGTAAAGATGTTTGCACGATGTGGTCCGGGAATTTTAGTCTTTTCCTTAAGTCGACCCTTAATTCCCAGTCTGTTGCCAGTGACAGAGTATTTGCTATATTCTTTGGCTTTTTCTTGGGTTTCTCACCAGCTCTATGAAACTATGGCTCTTTTATCTGTGTTTAAAGTATTGGTGCTGATGGCCATGCTAACTATCTTTGATATATCTTTTAGGATTTCATCATGCCTCCATCTATACCGGCCTTCCGCTAGTGCTGTCTTACAGCTACTTAAAATATGTTTTAGACTTCCTGGACGTGAACACAAATGGCATAGTGGTGATTCTGTTTCATACCATCGATGGAGGTTGGTAGGACTGGGAAGGGTGTCATATACAGTCTGGATCAGGAACTTTATGTTGATGTTATTGCTCCATATATCCAACCATTTGATTTTCCTGTAAATCATGGATTCCCAATTGGTCCACGCACCTTTTTGCCGTAGTCCTACCATCTTTGCTACCCTTTTCTCCTCCTCGCCCTTGCGTACTTCTTCTTGTATTAAACGGTTCTTTTCTTTACCTTTGGCTCTGTCCACTCGGATGGAAGGAAAGAACCCTAGGCCAGCTCGTCCAGTAGCTACGGCGCCTAATATGGACTTTTCACGGAGCCTTTCTTTAGCGACACGCAATGCGTCCTCTGCTCTCCATTTTCTTCCTGAGTAGACTTCAATGCCTGCTCCAGCCACCTTTGGGTCTTTGGATAACTCATACTGTGTTATTGCTCTAATTTTGGTGACTTTGTATTCCTCTACTAGACTTTTGAAAGGAAGTTGCAGAGCATTGGTGTTGCCGTATAGAGCAGCACATATAAAAGATGTATGCATTTACTATGGAGAGATTATAAATAAAATTTTCAGGTTAAAATACTAATGATTTTGATATATTTGGAAAATTTAAAGGGGAAATTTCTCAGTACTGCCAATTATATGAAGAACAGAAGAATACTATGTAGAAAACCAAACTAAATGGGTTTTTCATAAGAAACCAGATTAATAAACATTAATTTATAGCTTTTTCATTGTATCTTTTTATATGTAACTATATCTTAATAAAAAAAGTAAGTAAATTAGAAATGAATTGTGAATGAGACTAAGCTTTGAGGTACAAATTACATCATTTCCTATTAGATATTATATTCGAATAATGCGTTTTTGATTACTGTCTACCTTTTAATGTACACATTAGCCACACGAATTGAGGGATTACTCTGTGTGTGTGCATATATATATATATATATATATATATATATATATATATATATAAATTACTGAATTTTGCAATATTTTGTACTTTTCAGAGCTGGGAAAGTAGAATATACTTTGTGCTTAGAAGTGACAGAATATTTAGTACAAGAGGATGAATACGTTCCATTTACTGTTGGCATTTCAAATCTTCTCTTCATGAAAAAATTCATGGCCACCCTTCCCACATATGAATGGTACAAGGTAAGATTTGGTTTTCTTTTTTCAGTTTCTAGTCCAAGTTTCTGAAGTTTTAAAAGTGTTTCTACACTCTTCCTGTGTATTTGAAGAGACCAACAATTTAATCTTCTATTATTTCAATATGAATCTTTTTTTTGTTAAAATATATAAGGGAATCAATGCAGAAATATGTGTTTTATATATATATATATATATATATATATGATCGAAATAAAAGTATAAAATTTAATATTACAAGACATATTAAAACAATTTTAAATAATAATAAAAAAACAAAAAAAAAAAAAAACTCAAAAACAATATATATATATATATATATATATATATATATATATATTTTTTTTTTTTTTTTTCCACATATTCTCATTCAATTTTGTTTTAATATTGAAATGTACAATGAAATAGAGTGGGAAAAAAAAAAAAAAATTATGAGTTTTTTTTTTATTATATATATATATATTTTTTTATATATTTATCATTAAATTTTGTACCTACAAAAATATCTTTAAAATATATATATATATATATATTTAAGAAATGGACAAGGTATAATTTATTTATTCCGATTTTATTTGAGTTTTTTTTTTTTTAATATTGAAAGAATTTCTTAAATAAATTTATTTATTTAAATCATTAAACAGAGCATAAAAAATATCAAAATAAATATATATATATATATATATATATATATATATATATGAAAATTTCTCTGATTTAATCGGTAGAAGACAATATTTATGAATAAAAATGACAATAGGAAAACCAGTTTTCCTATTGTCATTTTTATTCATAAATATATATATATATATATATATATATATATATTCTGGTAACAAACAAACAACACAAAAACAAAATTAACAAAGTTTTCTTTTCTTCTTCATATCTCATTCTCTGATATAGCATGAATAAAATCGAAAACATTAAATTTATAAACGTTTCATTTCTGTTGGATTCTAATCAATATTTGATTTGTATTTGATCATATATATATATATATATATATATATATATATATATATATATATATATAATATAGGAAATATAAATATCTCTTGGATTTAATCTATTTTCTGTTTATACATTATTTTATGGATACAATTATTTGAGTAAATTATCTGTTCTTTAATTAAACAGCATTAATTACATTTACTTGCCTGAATGTTTGAGAAATTTTGTAGAAAATATGCATTCTCCAGCAGGAATTGAACCTGCATCCTATATGGAACCATCATTAAATCTGGCAAATAATACTGTTTAATTTAAATTTACTCAAATAAGCATAAAAAATAAAAAAATAAGTAGAATATATATATATAATAATATATATATATATATATATATATATATATATATATATATATTATAGTAATTCATCAAGTCTAGAAGAATCCTCAATAGAATGCAGAAAACACTCGATGGCCGTTTTGTTCTATTTTTATCTTCTTTGTCACCAAGGCCTGTTGGTACAGTTGGTATGACTCTTGCATTGTATTGAAATAGTCTGGGTTTGAATCTTGGTAGTGGATGCACACTGCTGATGATTCCCAAAATTCTATTACTTGTGTGTGTGTGTATATATATATATAGTGCACACTGAGTGCTGAGAGTAAAAAAAAAAACAAAACACAATGCTCCATGCAAAATAACAGAGCTAAGATATGTTTATCTGAGAGAACTCCTCTCTGCTTTCAATCAACATGTCTGATGCTAACCTCCAGGAAAGTGACTTGCTCATTTTCGGGTCAATGCTATCATCTGACATGAAGTGGAAAGACTAAATTGAACCCATTGTTAGATTAGCTGCTAAGAAAGTCAATTCACTGTGTTGTGCGAGACAATTTTTCTCTCTGGAAACTTTCTTACATATCTATAAGTCTACTATTCACCCATGCTTAGAATATTGCTGTCACATATGATCCAGTGCCCCTGCTATATATTTAGAGATTCTTGATAAAATCCAAAGAAAACTCAGAAATATTATTATTCCTGATCTGGAACTGAACACATAATGTCTTTACTAAGAACAATATTTGGCTGTCAAGTCCTTCCATATAAAAAATATAAATCCTCTTTTAGAAAAATAATAATAATGTTTTCTGTCATGTTTGTGATATTTTCCTTTTAACTCCTGTCTGGGGCTACTCTGCTCCCCCTATGAAGCCATTACACACTTGCACTGTTACTCTGAAAGAATCATTGAATACTAACAAAAACCTTGTTTCAGAAATATTTGTTTGGACATTTCAATGGCATCTTCTTTAATTTACAGAATTATATTTTGAAACTTTTGTCAAACCAACTGAAAATCTTAGGATGGAAAACTGATGGTGCTCCTTTGAAAAGGTAAGTGTCTTTGTATATTATTATAATTAAGTTTTGATTGGACATTTGATTGCCTTGATGTTATCCACATTCTGAATGACCACTTTCTTCATTTCTTGAGAATTGGACAATCTGTGATCAAAATGGAAAACCATTTTAGTTCCAGAGAAAAAAAATGGCAGCAGGAAACTTAATTCATTTCCATAGTGATGTCTTTAGCTTTCTTTGTTTGTTTACTGACATATCAACATCCTTATGGGTCATTTAATGCCAAAATTTAATTTTCTTTGGAGCATTAGTAATTTCTTTTACAAAAATGCATTACTTGTAATATTTTTTTGGACTCACATATTGCTGGTATTTGTACTATGAAAATGTATTTTTATACTTTCATAGTGTTTTGACACCAGTTTGGGTGTTCACTAGCTGGGACCCTAACAGGTGCTACCACACTGGATCAGGGTGGACTTGGGAGGTGGTTTCATGCTCCTCAAAACCTCCCAATCAGAGGCCTTGCTGCTGGATGTAGTTTATTGTTATACCCAGGACACAATGTTTTTAGGGGATTCCAAACTCTAGGCAGGGAGTTCCCTAATGCTGTACTTGCTAAGGAAAAAACAACAACAATTAAAAACACTGTATTTAAATGTTGTTACTGAGTTATAAAAAAACAACTATAGAAAACCTGAACTGATTTAACAACAAGTTTATTATCTTTTTGGTACAGGAAAACAATGGAGAATAGAATCTAAGGAAGAGAATGTTTAGAATGACTGTTTTCAGTAAAAGCTACTGCTGCTCCTCCTGTTGTAGGAGTAATTACATGTCTTTTGTTCATCACACTAAATATCTGACTTTATACAAATTTTATAAACTTGAATTTATAGTGAACTTGGAGAAAATTGGGCCATTTTGTTGTAACCGAGTTATCAATAACAACTGTAGAAAACCGGAATTAGTTTAACAAGAAGTTTATTTCCTTTTGGTACAGGGAAACATAATGTAGAATAGAAACTAGTGAAAAGCTACTGCTGCTACTCCTCCTGATGTAGCATTTTTATGTCTTTCATCCGTTGACTAAGTCCAAACTTGACGGGAAATATTCTCCTTCACAACATTAAATTTGCATTAACCCAACTTTATTCCCTGATATATGTTGCTTCCCCAATTGTTTCACTAGCAAATATTGTATTGAAAAAAAAAAAAAAACAATAGGCTTTGATGGATTTAAAAAAATGTACAGCCTGGTCCAAAAGTCTTGTCACTCTCTACCAAAAAGCAAATAGAACAAGTAATAGAGTAATACAAAGCACATGTACTGGATTCAGTTTTGTTCAATTTCAATGATACTGTCACACATCGAGAAGGTCTGTATGAACATCCATCATTTTCATGGCACAAAATGATTCAGTGCCATGTCCTGTGATATTTATGAAGCTGTGCATTGTTGATTATTGCAAAGGCTCTCTGAATGGCTTCTTCCGACTGATAGGTATTCTGGTATCGTTCCTTGAAATGACACCTATCATTTAAGAATGGCCTGAAACTTTCACCTTGATAATACCCAACAGAGCATTGAAATAGAAAATTGTATTATGTAGGGGTGGGTTAGGGTTTCATCTATGCAATTTTATTCACACATTTTGGGTCAATCTGTGGCATAGTTTTCAGGCACTTTTGAAAGACCCTGCATGCTGTGATAACCTTCCCAGATTGATAATATAAAACTGACCATAGCTAGATTCAAATCTCTCTCTCTATATATATATATATATCATCATCTTGCGACCTCAGCCGAGATTGAACTCACCAATACTTTGATTGGTGTAGCTCATAATCTTGTCAAATAGCTGAATTCTTGATGCTTCACTAGGGCTATCAAGGGTGTTTTTATTGTGACACCATCACTAAAATTCACCCTCATCTAAGAGCAGGTTTGAATTCAGAGTTTTCCTTCTCCTAGACCAGTTGCCATTCAAGGCTATAGAACCCAGTCTGTCCTGCTATTTACCCATAGCTGGAGGGAGAAGAAAGAGGATTCACACCTTTCCCAAGGGTGTTAGCATGTAAGTGAATGTAATGGATTCGACTGGAATTCAAACTCGGCTCTCCGATTCCTCAATCCAAGCTGCTAGCCATTACTCCACCATGCCTCCTCTTTTAATATATATATATATATATATATATATATATATAGATAGATAGAGAGAGAGAGAGAGAAAGAGAGAAAGAGATTTGAATCTAGCTATGGTCAGTTTTATATATATATATATAGAGAGAGAGAGAGAGAGAAAGAGATAGAATGGTCCAAAAGTCTTATCACTCACTACCAAAAAGTTATGAGAACAATAGAAGAATAAAGAATACTGTAATACAAAGCACATGGACTGGATTCAGTTTATTCACTTTCATTGATGTTGTCACACATCGAGAAGGTCTGTATGAACACTGTCATTTTCGTGACAGAAAATGATGTGGTGCCATGCACTCTGTGATATTTTACGAAGCTTTGCTTTGTTGATTGTTGCAAAGGCTCTCCGAATGGTGTTCTTCAACTGATGGGCATTCTTGTATCGTTCTTATGAAACTCACCTTGATAATACTGCACAGAGCGTTGAAATAGAAAATTATATTATGTAAGGGTGACAAGACATTCGGTTCACCCTGCAGCCCAGGTCTAATTATAAAAATGATATACATAAAAGGACATCACCACATTCAACTGGAAGCACTGGTTACCACTTGAATAATATAAAAGAGAACCATGGAAGCACTGAGATCGTTGTTCAGTTTCTTTCAAGCACTGGTAGTTAGGGCTAAGTTAAAAAGTATATCTTGTTACCCCTACCAAAAAGTCATCAGAACAACAGAAACACAAGTAATACTGTAATACTAAGCACATGTACTGGATTTTAGTCTATTCACTTTCATTGATGCTATCACACATCGAGAAGGTCTTTATAAACACTGTCATTTTCATGGCACAAAATGATTCAGTGCCATGTCCTCTGTGATATTTTATGAAGCTGTGCTTTGTTGATTGTTACAAAAGCTCTCCAAACAGTATCTTCAGGGGATGGGTATTCTGGTATCATTCATGTGAAATTCTCTCCTTGATAATAATACCCTGCGGAGTATTCAAACAGAAAATTATATTACGTAGGGGCTGACAAGACTTTCTGACCAGAAAACGTTTATTACTTCTCAAGTCTTTTAAAAAAATACAAGGAATTGGGTCAAATATTAATTGTGTTAAATTTAGATTGTTCATTTATTATAATGTTATTTTAATTATCATATAAGCAATATCTTTATAAGTTTAACTGCTTAACATTAACAACTTAGAAACAATAAGAATATTTTTCTAGAAATTTTACATGTAGATTTCACAAGATTTGCTTATTTAGAGATGCTTTAATGTTTTTATAAGAGAATAATAAGTTATTCTTCTCTGCTACTGATACCATATAACCCAAAACACTGTCACATATTATTTGAAGAGAATGTGTATAGTGTTAAGCTTACTATATATCCTGATCAGTGAAGTTTATCTTGGTGATATAAGCTATTTGCTTTTTTTTTTTTAAACATTTTTTGAGTCAGTCCTAAAGCTTAAGAGCTCTTGGTTCATGACAACATTTTATTATAGAAAAGTAAACTTATGATGAAAACTGAAAGCTCACCCATTTTGAGGCTTGGGAATTATGGTAAAACTAATAATTGTCAAGTAATATTGATTGGATTTGAATCTAGCATGGTACCCTGACAATCTCATTGTTCAGGAAACTGACCAATTAATGAGTTGAAATTAAAATGAATTTTATTTCTTAATAATGGTAATATTAGCCATTTTCTTATAAGGAAACATTCAACTTTCATTAACCGAGCAGCTTTTGGTTGAAATTTGTAAGATCTTTTTCTTAAAACAATTTTTCAGGAAAATAGGTTTCTCAAATCTCGTAACTGTTATTGCTTTTTGCAATATTGATGGGGGTTTCTTTCATAACCCTTCTATTTGAAGTAATGTGAAACTTTTCTCTTCAAGTTAAATATGCTATCCATTTTAGTTGTTGCTGCTGTTGAAAATCCTCAAATGGTGTGATTTCTGTGATTTAGTACAGTTCTTTGATTGTGATTCTGTAGTACCAATCAACAAGCTTCAAAGGAGGATGGTGTTCAACAAGACAGGCTCTTCGCTCACCCAACACCATTTTTAACCATTTTTCTAAGAAAGTGGTTGTATATAGTTGGCAGTTTAGATATTTCTGAATGATTTTAGTGCCATGAATGACATCTGTATAAAAGTCTTGATCTAATAGAGTTTGTTAGTTTAATGTTTTCATTTTGTAATGCTTTGTAATGTTAGAGCACAATGGATTAGGGGTAGTTCTAACTATGTTCAATTTCCTTATCTCCTATACTAAATTTGTTAAAACTAATCCATACACCAAGGTATCTAAAGTATTTGGTATTTACTAATTCCATATTCTGAATTTTTATGATAGATCAATCATTATTAAATAACCAATTATTATTAAAACACAAAAAAAATCATAGAATTTTGGGGGCTTTAGAGATTTAACAATTTAGTGCAGAAAGACTGTCACACGGTTTTTGTTTTACCTTTTTTAATTAACAACTAAATTAAATCTTTTTATTTTAATTTGTTGATCTTTCATAATATGAATTACTGTCAGTAGAACTGACTTGATAGAAAGGCAATTTCTTTATTGCAAGATGGAGGATAATACAAGTATGAAAGAACACAACAGAATTGCAATGGCATATTTCTAGGATGAGTCAGGCACAAGGATTATAGAATTCAATGGGGATGAAAATTCTGTTTCAGAGCAAAGAGGCAAAATTTCTAATTCTGATGTTAAAAAAAATTGAAGATTGCTGTCCCTGCTTTGTTTCGATAAAAGAAAAAAAAATTTCTTCAAGGTCTTTTCACTCAAAGCTTAATAATATTAAATGACAGCAAGCTTTAATTTTTGTGCCATTTCATTCAGCAATAATGACATTGTCTTTCTATCAAACCAGTTACCTTGATTGGAAAAGAACGTCTTTGATTTCAAAATGTTATTTTTTTTTTTATTTATTTCAGATCCCTGCGGTCATTTGTTCTAAAAATTGCAATTGAAATGGGAAATCGAGCTATTGTGAACAGGGGCCAAGAAATCTTCCAGGAATGGCGCTATAATAATAGAAGGTTTATCTTTTTGAGTTTTATTTATTTATCCCCAAAATTGACATTTGTCTCCATGTCCTGTAACAAATCAGATGAGATCCGATTTATCCCCTGTTATGTTTTGCATATCTCCCTGCATAGTAGTAGTCATAGTACAGTTCTCCAAGTCCTGAATAGCAACCAGTTTTGTTAGGCATAGGCCCCACTATGTTTGCCAATTGTTCTCTATTTATACTGGTCTGTCTAATTTGCTTACAATACTACACCCCCTTGTCATTTTTCTGTCTCCATGTCCCTCTAACAGATCAGATGATGTCTGCCCTGAAAAATATGTACTATATACATGTGCATATAAGCATGTCTGTGTGCATAACTGTTTGTCAGCTCGTACACTGCTGGCCAAAATCTTCAGGGCAATGAAAATAACGAATAAATATACTTTTTGCATTGTTAGACTCAACCACTTAATTGAGTAGAGTTTGAAAAAAAATGAACAGTTAATCTTTGCTGAGAAGCACCAAACATGAGACATAGAAGAAGTGAAAGAAGGTTGTGTACTCTGATGAGAAAAATATTTAACCAGGATGGTCCAGATGGCTTCCAAATGTTACTGGTACGATAAAGATATCCTGCTGATAACATTTTCTACACAACACAGTGAAGGAGGCTCTATCATAATCTGAAATGCTGTCTTCTTCCAAGGAACAATGGAGCTTCAAGTTAAACAGTGGCATCAAACTATGGCTAGTTACATTGGCATGTTGGAGAATATATCCTTATTGACTGAAGGTCCTCAATTGTCTAGAAATGACTGGATCTTTCAGCAGGGCAATGCTGCAATATATAATGCCCACAGGACAAAGAACATGAAAAATAACCTGATTCTTTTGGACTCTCCAGTGTGTGCCCAACCTATGCCAATTTGGCATATCCAGATACAGGCCTCTTTGCAACTTGTCCAGATATGGATTTCTCTCAACTGTATCTTGTCAATAAAAGTAATGGGAAAATCAGCAGTTGGTAAGACTTGGTGTCTTGTGAAGTCGCCTTTTGTTCCTAAAGTTACTGTGATTTTGTTACCACCTGTCTCTGTAATGCTTCACAAAGCAATCAGTTAGGTGTTTCTGATAAACTCAGCACACCCATGCCGTATTTTAGAAGAGTGTTGGCTAAGATAAGCTTTCCTTTCGTCTTTATTCATACTGTCTTTTCACAGATATATTGTAGTTACACACACGCGTGTGTGTGTGTGTGTGTGTGTGTGTGTGTGTATATATATATATATATAATTATTTATTTAAAAATATGATTACAACTCGCGACATACTTTTGTATCGAGCACTATTTTTTAAAAATAATAACTAAAATACTAAGGAACTTTTGATTACTTACCTAACCAGTTCTTTCCTATTTTCTATATATTTTCACACACACATATATATATATATATATATATATACACACACACACACACACACATAATGGTGAAATAAATTATTACAATGGAGCCTGAGAGTGGTCTGTTTTTCCTTAAAATAATATAAATATATATATACAGAAAATTTTGCTAAATTAGAAAATTTGAATCTGTTCATGTTACCCACTATTTTCCGTGTTACACACCTTTTTAACTCCTTCCACAAGGAAAGAGGGAACCTTATTTTCTGTCAATTTTTTCTTTCCTTGTGGAAGACATTTTATGCCTTTAAGTTCTACAATCTTTTAATAAGTATTTATATGCCACATGCACAATTGTTTGTATGTAAAATGCACAAAAACGAATATAAATATCATATACTTGTTAAAATTAAAAACTGAACAATATTCAAATGATTTTTTGACATTGTGGTGAAATAATTTATGCAGGTTATTGATTTCAATGCATTATTTCAATAATAATAATAATAATCCTCATCCTCATTTGGTTAGTGTTGAGTATTAATGATTCTTATTAAAAAATCTTTATCTTTTCAAGCATTCATCCGGACTTATTTGACTCTGTCTTGTTGGCCTCAATGGCTGATGGCTCTTCAGAAAACTGGAATTATTTGTGGCAAACCTACACAGAGACCAGCAACCCGATTTTAAAAAGTAACCTTCTAAGAGCGTTGGGTAGAACTCCTAATGCAAATGATTTAAATCGGTAATTTTTTTCTTTTAATTTCTTATAGCTGCCAAATGTAAAACATTAATTAATTTAAACAATTCTAATTTTTTTGCAAACATCTAGATTTTAAAAGATTTTTGTTGTGAACTTTAGGATTAAGTTTTTCATTTGATCCTCTACCACTCCAGTAAGTACCTGACTCCTTCTGCTATATTCTATTGTTACAAGAGCGAGAATGGAGTACTTCTGCCATATCTGGGCAGGAGCTGCCCAGTTCTCACTTTTCAGTTTCAATAGAGTCCAAAAGTTTCTTTGCATCCTTGTGGGTGATGAATTATTTTCCACCCTCCACCCTGCCTATCTTGCAGACAGGATGAGACAAACCTTTCACTGCTCTATTACTACTTCCATGGAAAGTGCTCAGATGAACTATGTTCCTTAGTTCCACCTGTTTTAACCTTCAGGCCTAAGACCTGTCATGCTCCACACATTATAGCAAATCACCCACATTCCCTACATATTCCATTGGTGAGAAGTAAGTCTCACTCAAACAGATTCTTCCCATGAAACACTATTTTGTAAAACTGGCTCCCAAAAGGATGCTTCTCCGATCACTCAATTCTTAACCTGTTCAACTCTAGGGTTAATTGTTATCTTCCTCACATATCCACATAAACTGTGCCTTTGACTCTAACCCTCTATCATGAGTGGCTCACGAGCCTTGTACAGAGGGATAAAAGTAAATTGACCTTAAAATTTCTAAAACAGGTGATTTGAGTCGAGTTGAAAGATTTACAACAAATGATGTAGATTATCTCTTGTGGCAGATAATCCTGACCTTTTTGTGGGGATGCTTATAAGAGGAAGGCTGACAGGTAAAAAATATTTGATTAACAAAATTTCTAAGATTTTTTTTTTTAATTTCATTATTGTATAGTGTGATACAAAACCCAAGAAAAAAAAGAAAGAAAAAGAGCACTTAGAGTCATTAAAAAAAGAATGGAATTGATTATCACACTTATACTTTGAGAAACTTTTGCAATGAATGTCACAAATTTGTGCTGCAGTAATCAAGACTAAAAGAGGATATTTTGACGAAAGCAAAATTTAATATCTGTCTATATCTCTGAGATGAGGTATTATGATTACTTGCATTATTTACATTATTCAGACTATTATCCTCATCTTCATTGCCTTTGTACTCTGCGGCATTCTTCTCACAACTCTTTGGGTCTAGTCACTGGATCTAACCAATGTCTTTATCCACTGGGCCATGTGTCCTCAAAGATTTGCGAGTTCAATACCAAGCCAGAGCAGGGGTGAACCAAAACTTGGAGAGTTGTGTTAAAGGGAAACAACTGAGACATCTGGAAGAGGCATGACACATGGAACTAGAACAATTTACCCCAGAGGACAAAAATAAAGAGTTTGATTCAAAATTCTAATCACCTGAAGAAGGCTGGAGCATACAACAGCTGAAACGTTGTGAACATGGCAATGAAGATGAGGATAACAGTCCAAATAATGTAAATAATGTAAGTACTCATAATAACTCATGTCAGAGATCTAATTACCTGAAGAAGGCTGGAGTGTACTACACGTGAAATGTTGATAACATGGCAATGAAGATGAAACAGTCCGAATGATGTAAATAATGCATGTAAGCAAAAAAATTAATCATGAAATGCTTTTTTTTTCTTTTTGTCATCATAAAATTTCTAATAAAAAATCATTTCTCACTTTTTTTTAACCATCTATAATAATTTTCTCTTGTTTAAAGTATAAAGCAACTAGTTTTGGGGCCAATTTAAAAAAAATTACCAGGGGTGTCCACAAACTTTTGAACTGTAGAGTACATAAAATGAATAAATTTATTCTCCACAGAAATTACTTTTTGTAACTTTATATATTTTGAACTTCTTTTTAAATAACCTTTTCTCCTTTGTGCAAAACTATTTGTAAATTGTTCTTAAGGCATTCAGTAATAAATCAAATGAACAGTGTCTCTTATGGCATCTTGTATACATTGAACTTGCTTCGTTGTGTATTGCTGATTTTGTTCATATGGAACCTGTTTATTTCCATCATTTTTTTTCTCTTTCATCAGTTATCTGAGTATCTCAACTCAAAGAGATTTTATCAGAATTCAAGACCTCAGCTCCGTTTTCTATTCTCTGAGTTCAAGCCAAACTGGACAGCTTCTTGCATGGCGACATCTCAAACTAAACTGGAAAAGTTTGCAAGAAAGGTACTCTAAGATTTGTATTTACAATTTGACCTTTGTCAAATTTCTTTTTATACTTACATGTTGTTGATAATTTTTATTTGAAGGATGTGAATGAATGGGCATTTTGAATTGTGTAGGTGCATGTGATATATATATATATATATATATATATATATACACACACACATACATACATACTTACAGGTAGTAATCTGTTGGTATAATCCAAATGAGTCCTATTAACACAACATAGAATTTGAAATATGTTAAAACCGATTCGCAAAAGAGCGTTCAATATTTATTTTCATTATACAGAGCAAATTTTCTTTACAATTGGAATTAAGATACCTTTAATTAATGACCATTTTCACCAAAGAATTTTAATTTTAAAATTTGCAGGTTTTTTCAAACTGTTTATGGTATTAGTTTGTAGTGGGATACTGTTTATTTGGAGACATCTCTAAAACAGCAGTCACAACACTGTTTGGCCTATATGAATTCTTAAAAATGCCATTCGGTTTACATAATGCTGCCCAGACCTTCTAACGGCTCATGGATGAAGTTCTGCGCAGGCTGCCACATGTCATGTATATGCATACATCAACGACATCTTGGTAGCCAGTAAGGATGTCAACTCCCACAGGCAACACCTGTGAGAAGTATACCCAGTGACTTTCGCATTATGGCCTGAAGCTAATTCTGGGCAAGTGTATTTTTGGGGTGCCCAGCATCGATTTTCTCAGGCACCACACTGATGTGAATGGCGTCACACCTCTGCTTGATCCAGGAATTTCCTACACCAATGTCTATTAAACAATTGCAACATTTTATTTGGATGAGCAGTTTCTATCAATGATTCATGCCAAATTGTGCTACTATTCTCTATTGCCGACGAACATGCTGCAGAGAAAGAATAAAGACATCACGTTGCAGGGGAGATGCTCTGCATGCATTTCATACGCCGAAGACTGCATTAGCGAATTTCACCAGACTTTTGTATACTAACAGCGATCAACAAATGTGACCATCCCTGACAACTGACACATTGGACACAGGTGTGGGTGCAGTTGCTGAGCAAGAATTTGATTCCCAATGCAAACCCATTGTGTTCTTTTTGGCTAAGCTTTCGAGGGAATACAGCACCTTCTCTTGGGAGCCTCTGGCCATTGACTTGGCCATCAAACATTTCCAACACTTACTGGAAGGTAGAGAATTTACAATCTACACCGACCACAAACCATTGACAACTGCAATGAGTACCAGCTCCAACAAATACACATTCCGTGAGATCTGGCATCTCAACTACCTGTCACAGTTCTCGACCACTATCCATCACATAAAAGGGAAGGGACAAAACAGTCGCGAATACATTATGCCGAACAGAAATTCATTGTCAGGATTCCATATTTGCTGAACAGAAATCTGACCCCATGCTGCAAGATGTGCTTACAAACACTTCTTTGAAACTTCAGGCGTTTCCAGCATCCTTCCGCAATCATATCAGAACTACCACTTACCATCTGTGCACCAACGGCCTAGTCAAGAGGTTTTATCAGTCTTTAAAAACCACCCTGGCTACTAGACCAGACTCGACTAATTGGGTTGACAACCCTCCCCTGATTCCCCTCGCATGGAGGAACATGATAAAAGAGGACTTAGGGTGTTCACCTACCGAACTAGTTTTCGGTACACCACTTTCGCTGCCTGGTGAATACTCTTCAATTTGGCAATTGACCAGCTGCCGTTGCCGGTAACAGTTCTGCCTGGCAACTGATCAGCTCTCCTGACCAAACACTGATCCAGGCATCTCTCCTGGCTGTACATGTACATAACATACGTTTATATTTTGTAAAATAAAAATCAACGTTTTATTTAAAATATAAACCACCACCTTTGTCCCCTCACTGTCATGGCTGTTCAAAGCTTTCTTCAAAAACAAAAAGCTTGTGGAAGGGGGGGCAACATCCTTATCGGCCCTACAAAAGAAATCCCAAGTCATGTGACTTCCTGGCTACACAAACACAACTACTGATTGGGTACGAGATTTTTTTATGGAATAAATGTTAAGTGGATTCACCAGTTACTATTTCTGGTTATCTCCCTTTCTTTCACTAATAATAATAATTCTTAATTAAAAAAGATAAAGAAAGAAAGGAAGAGTAAATATCCTGGTGCCTAAGTTTGTTCTTTCTTTCTTTATCTTTTTTAATTAATTAAGAATATTATTATTAATATAAGAAAGGGAATCAGGGGATGGTCGATTTTGAAATAGCTTTTGCCCTGTTAATGATTTAAGCGAATGAAGATAAACTGCAGGCAAAAAGTTTTGGGGCCCCCTGCATTTCTTTAAAAAACACTTTCAAATGAGAGTTCAGTAACTACAATGTCACTGTTTTCTAAGCTATTTTGTTAATCACTAATTGTTTTGACTTGAATTTAAATAGCCTCTAAAATCTTTTCTTTTTTTTTTAAATAGCCTCTAAAATCTTTTCTTTTTATTTAGTCTTATCAACAAGGAGCCGTTTTAAAATGTTTTGTAATTTTTGTGTTTGCTGTTTTGATGATAAGTGAATCTATAAGACAGTACCAGGTTAAGTGGGGGGGGTGAGTGTTAAACGATAGCACTCCACACCCTGAAAAGGATAAATAATGAAGAATATAAAGACGAAAGTAAAGAACTTGATTTTAACATAAATCTGCTTGTCTTGTTCCATAAATGCAGTAACTCAAGGGACATAACTCTGTAAAACTAACTCAAGGGACATTATTCTGATTATAGGTTTGAAGATGAAAAGTTTGGTTGGACCATAATAATTACTAGTATTTCTTTTATTTTTTATCCTATTCGGATGAGGTTATTGTTGTCACATGAACTTGGCATTTTCAAACACAATATGGATATTTTATTGTATCTGGTTCAAGTAGAAACAACCAAAAGTGAATACTCATAAGTAAACGTTTTTAACATTGTTGGGACTTCGAAAATACACAAAAATAAACAAAATACATTTTCAAATTCCCTCTACAACTAGACTTTCAACAAGTCAGAAAATAGACACATAAACACACAAAGTTGGTGTCACTTCATGCTAATGTAGCATTTTAAGTACACAACATAACATCCTCAACCAATAGGAAGATGACAAAAAATATTAAATTTTGGCTACATTTGGAGCCTATTTATAGCCTATAAAAGAAACTTGACGATTACTCACAACAAGCACATACTGGAGCACACATGGTGCTTCCACTTAATCATACCAAACCAAAGAAAGCATTTTCACTTGGGGAACCACACTATGCAGAGAGATCAACACAAGTGAGATAAAATACTTGCCCAAATACCCAACTCCAAAATTACATCACATGGGGAATAGGCTTATAAGCCTTTTCCCCATATGAGGTAATTTTGGATCTTATTGTGTACTAATTATTTCCTCTGTAATAATAAATACATTGAGCTCTTTTTGTGGATTAGTTTTAATATTTTATATTACTAGGATCCACTTGGATTATATACCAATGGACTTATTACCTTTACTATATATATATATATATATATATATATATATATATATATATATATATATACAAATACACAAACAAGTTTTCTTAAATTTAACCTACAATGTCTACCTGTTTAATTTTTTTATTGTATTTTTCCAATTTTCAAATAAGCTTTGTACATCAGGATCCAAATTGTGAAGAGACTGTTGGAAGTTCATATTTTGTTCAACCATCTCAGTCATTGTCAAGAAATTGATGTTGTCAGTGTCATAGATAAAATTTTTCAGAATGCAGAGATTCATATTAATCCAAAGTGCTGTCATGTGTAAAATGGTTACATGGAGTTACACCACACTAAAAAAGAATGTATCAAATATTTATATGTATTATTATTATTTTATACATATATTAAAATACAGTTTCCATATACCGTGAGAGAAAGTGTGTGTGTGTGTGTGTATATATATATATATATATATATATATATATATATATATATATATATATATATATATAGGTGCATACACATCCATGTATATTTTTTAATAAAAAAAATTCAAGAGGATAGAATCCAGGTAGAACTCAATGTCCAGGACAGAGTAAGGATATATATATATATATATATATATATATATATGTATATGTATGTATGCATGTATGTTATTGTGTATGTGTGTATTCGTATGTGTTTTGAACATAAAAATATAGGTCCTTGCTAGATTAGATAATCGTTACATTTATTTTTTATATGTTTATATTTGATTTGTAACCTGTAGTTGATATTAATTTTGTCAAATTTTCTTAATTACACAGTGGCCCTTTCAGTAAATGCCCTTAAGTTTTAGTTTCCCCCGACACATCTCTCTCCCCCACCCCTTCTTTTTTTCCTTTCCTCTCCCTCCCCCTTCTTCTGATCTTTAACATTAGATCGTCTATGGTGTGTGTGTGTGTCACCATGAAATGTATCTTTAATGTATTAGACATCCAACAACATTCATATTTCTCTCACTTACACCTCTTCAACTCACCTCTCTAAAACTTCTCTCTGTTAAGGTTTAATCTCCCACCTTCTCTCGTCTGTCACCCCTCTCTTTAGCTCTAACATTCGTCCCACACTCTCATACTTACACTCTCTCTAAATTCTATTTTTATTTCCGGAGTTGTTTTTTTCTGTTTTCTTTTTGAATTTGTAGGTCTGATGAATTGGATTGTATTTACGATTCCAATGGAATAAATTATGACCATGGAATATTAGTGTTTAAGCCTTTTTATTATATATATATATATATATATATATATATATTTACATTTTTTGTATGTAACAATTAAATGGGAAATGTGCAAAATAATAATGACTCACCCAGCCAAATTCAAGTCATAATTGTTTTTGAAAGGAAAAAAAAACAACTTTAGTTAAATAAAAATTATGAGAGACAAACAGGAGTTACAGGCAACATTGGTTGTGTTGATGTGGGGAAAATTGTGAAAATGGCCTACCTTGGAAACGCCTGCAAATCTGTGCAATGTGCAAACTCCAGTTTGCTAGCGGTAAAAGGAACCAAAATGGCGGCGCCCATATTTTATGCCAGGCGGTCTCGGTTAGTTAGCGCGAAATCTTGTTGTTTCGTCATTCGCATGCAAATCGTGGTCGGTCCTCGGCTGTATAAAGCAGGCACGTTTTTCTGTTTCGGATCAGAGGGCTTTTGGCTCGTGAGAAGGTTGGACGTGCGACACCGGGTTTTTCGGTTACCCTCCTCACGGTTTTTTGTTCCTATCTGCTATTATCAGTTGAGTTGTTGTGTTACCCCCACAGTTGAATATTTATTTTATGAAAATTAATTTGTTGTGTCCACTAAAACATTTAACAAAATATTTCATCAAAATATCGTGCAGACATAGAAGACTTGCTTTATGGCTTTTTAGGGAAAATTAGGAAGAAATAAATAAATATCATTCTGTCTGTAGCTGATGTTTTTACAAAAAAGTGTATAAAACTCACAAAGTCTGACCCCAAATGTGAGATGCACAGAAGTCACCAAGTCTACATACAAAAAGCTACTGCACTGACGAACATCCCCTGTTACTACTAAGTACACACACACACACAGACTCTTTCACATAAACACACATATAACACTGTTTCTCACATACGTACATAAATTGTTTATTTGTTGAGGAACATTGTCTTTTTCTATTGGATTTTGTTCTTTCAATGAAAATCATGGAATTATTCTGAAGGGCCAAATTACAAGCAGCCCTGCAACAATACTTTATGTTATTATATCGAATACCGACACTGAATTTTAACGTTTAGAAAAAACCTGGGGAGAAGGATTCCTACAAATTTAAAAAAAAATAAGGCTTGCTAAATTTTTTGCAGTTTAGACAAAAATTAATCCATCTTTATATACTTTGAAATTACTAAATGATTTTAATAAATTTTTGTATTTTTTAACTTTGCAAGAATTAATGTTATTTCCTTTAAATAATTTTAATTTTATACTGATCTTTCATTTTAAACATTTTGATTATTCAAATTCATTACAGCTATATATATATATATATATATATATATATATATATATATATATATATATTTACATTTTTTTTGTGTGTAACAATTAAGAGGAAGTGTGCAAAATAATGATGGCCCACTCACACAAATTGAATTTATCTTTGTTTTTGAAAAGAAAAAACAAACTTTAGTGAAATAAAGATTATGAGAGACAGACATTAGTTACAGGCAACATTAGTTGTGTCTTACGAATTTAACAATATTTTATTTATATTAATTTTTTCAAAAATAAGGTTCGCTATAGTTTTTGCTTTAATAAAACTTAATTAAAAATTATTTACTTTTTTATGTTAGTAACAAACCAAAAAAAACAATGAAGTTTATCTTTTAAAGATTGAATAAAAAATTATTTTCCATGACATAAATAAATAATTTTCCATATCATAGTTTCAGGGTGGGGCAGAGACCCTTGCGCTGTTCCAGCCTAGACAAATTCAAGATATTTTGTTTTGATTTTTGTAAAGTGAAGTAAAAAAGAATAGATATTGTGTTTTGTTTTTAAAATCTGCAATAATGAATGAATAATAAAAAGTTAGAATAATTACACACACACAAAAAAAAATATGGAAATAAATTCAGAATAGAAAATTTAAAAATATATATAGAGTTTTGAAATTATCAGCAGAATTAAAAAGTAAAAATGAACAGGAATAATAATTATTCCCATTTCTTTTTACTTTTTAATTCTGAGAAGTTTGAAATGCTTACAAAAATGGATTCTAATGCAATTATTATGTATTTCTAATTTTAAAATATCTTCACAAATACAAATCATTGTAGTTTTTTTTTCTTCAAATTCATTCTTTTCTACTTTATTTTCTTTTCCCTTTTTCATCTTTCTTTTCCCTTTTTCATCTCTTTCTTTTTCAATATTACTTTTTAGTGGATGAAGATGTTATTATAAAATGCATTTCGTTTAATGTCTGTTAAAAAATGGATTGGAAGAATCTGCCTTTATCAAAATGCTTGATTTTTGTTCCTTCAGGTTTCACGGCAGCACTTTTGGTTTGAGCAACATCATTGAAAGCGTCATCATTAAATTTGTGACTGAAATGGATTACCATGAGGTAATTTTCATTTACTGCTTGGAATTTTCAGAAAAGTTGTTATCATTCAAAAATTCAAAATTTTTAACATGTCATGAACATGGATGTGTATTGATAAAAATAATTATGAATAAGGGACTGTCATGTCGTATATTTATTGATCAAAGCGCATGCTTGTTTGTATGTATAAAAAACAGATTGACGTTCCGGGAACCCGGAACGAAGGAGTAGGCAATATCATTACATCCCCCTTTCTCCGAAACAAGGATAGTAATACTGGGTCTCTGAAATAAAACAAACATAAATAAACAGAAAGGCTCGTTCAGGGTAGACTACCTGGACAGCTACAGCATAGCAGGGGATTATTCTGCCCCATTAAGTGCTTGCTGTGGGGTTATGAGAATGTGTTCATCATAAGTTCATCTTTGATGGTGGTCGCACCATCCTACCACTACGGGTACGCTTTTGATGGTTATTTGGCATGGTTGGGATCGCACACACAGGTGGATCCACAAAAGTCACACATTTCTGTGAGGCTGTTTTCGAGACGTCTTGCGACAGTTGTGAGTCAGGCGCCACTGGGATGCTTCTTATGTGCTGCCGGTTTCTTCGCAGCACATACCCATTGACATTCTCCAGGAGATAGGAGCGGTGACCATCTGCCTGGGATACTACAGTCGCTGGGTCCCAGCTTCCAGACATAGGGTTTTGTACCCTTACCCTTTGGCCACGGTACAGGGGTGGTAGTTCCTCCTTGAGTGCATGTCGGTCGAAGTACCTCTTTTGGTTTTCTTGACGTTGTTGAATTGCACTATATATTTGATCCTGATCTCGGTGATCGTTTCTGATTTTGGTAATCAGTGGAGATTGGATTCGTCTACCCATGAGTAGTTGTGCAGGACTTGGCATGACGCTTGAAATTGGAGTACAGCGCCAGTGCAGCAGCACAATTTCAGGCGTTGTTCCCGACTGCTTGGCTTTTTTGAGGATGTTCTTGACAGTTCTTATCTGCCGTTCTATGAAACCATTTCCCTGTGATCTCCGAGGTGAAGTGGTCTCATGGTGGAAACCCCATTCTTTGGCGAATTCACGGTAGAGGTGACTTGAGAAGTGTGGTCCATTGTCACTGACTACCTTTGATGGTATGCCAAACTCTGCAAAGACTTGGCGTGTGGTGTTTACTATAACACTGCTTGGTGAGTGAGCAGGTAGGTGTTTGACTACAGGGTACTTGGAGTAATAGTCGGCTATGATCAGCCATTGGCTTCCATGGAGATCAAACAGGTCTGTGCCAACTATGTCCCATGGCTTTGTTGGGATGTCATGTTGCATAAGGGGCTCTTGCATTTGGGATGGCTGATGCTGTTGGCAGATGCTGCATGACTTTTGTGAACTGCTCGATGTCTCTGTTTATGTTTACCCAGTAGACCGTGTCCTTGGCGAGGAGTTTTGTTTTCTCCTGTCCTGAGTGAGCTGTATGAAGCTGCTTTAGGATGTCTTCTTGAAGTGTCTGGGGAATGACGATTTGTTGTCCTTTGAGGATAAGACCATCATCATTTGAGAGCTGGTCTCTTAGACCCCAGAACACTCTGATGTCAGTGGGCAGCTGCTTGATTGTCTCTGGCCATCCAGTGATGATGGTCTCTCTCAGCTGGTTAAGCAAAGGATCCGCTGTTGTGCAGTTTCTCAGTTGTTCAATACGATCACTAGAGAAACGGACAGTATCAACCCGGACATCAAGCTTGATAGGGTCCGAATTACCAGGTGATGGTAAGCGTGATAGTCCGTCAGCCAAGATGTTGTCAGATCCCTTGTTGTAGGTGAGCCTGAAGTTGTATCCCTGGAGTTGTATAAGCATCCATTGCAGGCGTGCCGGGGCTGAGGTGAGCGGTTTGTCGATAATCATTGTAAGGGGTTTATGGTCGGTGATGACTTGGAAATTGTGGCCATAAAGGTATGTGTGGAATCTCTGTGTGCCAAATACGATGGCCAGTAGCTCACGCTCAATACATGCGTATCTTTGTTCCGTTTGTGTTAAGCTCTTGCTAGCATATGTAACAGGCGATAGATTGCCATCTGCATCCGGTTGTAGCAGAGCTGCAACTATTCCCCATATACTCGCATCACAGTGCATGTAAATTGGGAGTTTGGGGTCAAAATAGTGGAGCAGAGACGTTTCAGATACTTTCCTCTTTAGATCTTTGAAAACTTTCTGGTGATGTGGTTCCCATTGAAAATCAGAGTCCTTGTGTAACAGGTCACGCAACACAGTAGTTTTGGAGCTGAAGTCCTTGATGAAGCGAGATAGGTATGTCATCACACCTAAAAAACTGTTGTAATTCTGTTTTGTTACGTGGTTCTGACATCTCCTGTAGGTCACGTACTTTTGTTGGGTCAGGTTTCAATCCGGTATGTGTATACAGGTTTCCAAAGAAGGAGATTTCCGGCGTTTAATCTTGCATTTCTCTGAGTTGAGGGTAAGGCCCTCTTGAGTAGCGACCTCCATAAAGCGCTTTAAGTTTTTGTCGTGTTCATGTTCTGTTGACCCATATATGGTGATATCGTCAGCTATACCACAGGCTCCAGTGCACTTCTCGAGTATCCTGTCCATCTCAAGTTGGTAAATATCCTGACTGACACTCAGACCAAATGGAAGTCGTTCAAAACAGTACCTCCCAAATGGCGTTTGGAAAGTTGTTAGTGGCTGGCTTTCACGATCGAGCTTTATGGACCAGTATCCAGACTTAGCATCCAACTTTGAGAAGAATTTTGCTCCTGTAAATCGATGGTTGAGCTCTTCGACAGTTGGAATTTGGTGGTATGGCCGTATATGAGAGCTTTGTTTAGTGCTCGTGGGTCTAGGCAAACTCTTATTGTGTTGTCACGTTTGGTGACATATGTAAAGAAGAGCTTACCCAGTTTGTAGGTTCTTCAATACGGCGAATGACTCCTTGTGATTCCATCTTGTCAAGCTCAGCTTTGATTTTTCGCGCATGGCTATAGGTGTCCTTCTCGGTGGGTCTATGTGGCATGGCACATTGGGGTTAACAACAAGCTTGTGAGTCCTCCGAAATTCACCAATACGGTCGAATCTGTCAGGGTAGAGGCGCATTAGGTCAGCTACACTGTTGATGGGTTGTTGCTGGACTGATATAGCACAGTTCATTGTCACTACTTTAAGTGATACTGATGTTGGCAGGCCCAATATAGCTGCTCCTGGAACATCAAACCACGTAGAATTGGGTATCCATCCATGGAGAGTTCTTGTATTTGCACCTAATATTTGTGGTGCCATAACAGTTTATCTTTGTGTTGTTGTAGGCTGTTAGTAGGCATTGTGTTGAGGTGAGTGATCCGGGTATTGGATTTCCAGCTTTGTCTATACTGGTGGGGTACATCTTGCGGAATATGCGGATAGGCAGTGTGTTTGCTTGTGCCCCTGTATCTACCTTCAGGTTGAAAGTATGAGTGCCTGGGTGGTCCATCAACAATGTTTAAATCAACAAATGCCTCATTTCGAGGGCCTTTCATATTTGATGATTTCCCACTGTTGGTTTCGATGGAGCTAAAGGTGAGGTTTTCCATCGCTGTGTCTATGTCAGTCATGACTTGGTCGTTTTGTTTGGCGACGCTGTCGACTTTCCTGCCAAACTCCTGTTGTGGGTGTCTCGACTGGTTACGACCATTAGACCAGGTTTTCCCTTGTCGTCTCTTGGTGTTATGTTTCCCTGAGATGCAGACTGTAGCCCAGTGGCCTACTTTGCCACATGTGTTGCATGTGTCGTTCTTGGCACGGCAGTGTTCTTTGCCAAAACGGTGGTTGCGTCCACAATTTTTGCAAACCTGTCCGTATTTTCTGTCACTCCCTTGCTGTTGGTGTGTACCACGGTTTATTGTGGCTATCTGTGGTGGTCCCTGTAGCTGCTGGAGTTGGTTGACATATATTGCTGATGCTTCATGAGAACGGGCTAATTTAACAGCCTCTTTGATTTTGTAACCCTTTGGTTTGTTCAATAGTTCCTTTTGTAGTTTGGGTATGGGCGTGCTGGCAATTAGTAACTCAACGAGGCGTTCGTTTACTTCGTCGGCAGTGAAGTCGCATTTCTTTGCTAGCAGTCGGCATCTGTTAACGAAGATGTCTGTTGTTTCAGTTGGCTTTTGTTGGTATTTGCTGAGTTCGAGTCTACAAACGCGGTGGTTGGTTGCCGGTTCGAGCTGCTCCATGAAGGCAGAGAATATTTTTTGTGGGTCCTTGCGGTCGTTGTCTGTCATCGACCAACTGTTGTATCGGCGTAGGCCTTCTTCGCCGGCTGCGAGGAGAATTAGCGGCACCTTATCTTCGTGTTTTGTTGCCTTGACGGTGAAGTAAAGCTCCATGCGTTGTCGAAATAGTTTGAACGATTCGGCGATGTTTGGCGACCCCCAGTCAAGACTAGGCACTTGTATTGACACTGTAGCCATGATATCTGCCTGTTAGTAGCGGTTATGTTGTGAGCCCGGCGTGGCGTGAGCGAGCGAGAATTTGTGCACGTGGACGATTAAAGAAAATAGTGTACTGCAGTTTGTACTCACTGTTTTATTTTGGTGCTGTGATTTAGTAGGGTTGCTTAGTGTATTATCCAGTCTCGCTGCCACCATGTCATGCCGTGTAGTGCATGGATGTGTATTGATAAAAATAATAACTCGAACACGTGTGTAGTTATGAATAAGGGACTGTCATGGCGTATATTTATTGATCAAAGCGCATGCGTGTTTGTATGTATAAAAAACAGATTGACGTTCCAGGAACCCGGAACGAAGGAGTAGGCAATATCATTACAACACATTCTTTTGTATTTTTATAGCAGCCAATCCTTTCTACAGTAATTGAAATATTGTTTCCTTATAAGGAAACTTTCAGCAGTCATTGACCAAACAGACAGTGCTACTCAAGTTAGGCATTTCTTTCTTCTCTGGCAATCTGGCTGGGATCAAAATGTAGTACCTGTTCTCCTCATCTCTAATGGTAATATAAGCCATTTCCTTATAAGGAAACATTCATAATCCATTGATCAAGCAGCAAATGTTACTTTCAGTTGAATTTTATACAGTCTTAGAGAAAATTTTTCAGGAAAATAGGTTTCTCAAATTTAGTAAGTGTTATTGCTTTTTCCAGTATTTGTGGTGGTGTCTTTTCTAACTTTTTGTTTGAAGTAGAGTGGAACATCAACAACTTGATTATCTCATTATTTCTTTTTTGAGTTACGTGTGCTAGCCACTTTAATTGCTGCTGATGTTGAAAGTCTTCAATTGATGTGGCTTCTATTATTTGGTACAGTTCTTTGTGATTCTGTAGCCCATGTCAATGAAGTTGAAATAAGGATGGTCCTCTCTAAGACCTACTGGCTTCATTCACTCAAGGCCACAGAAACTGAATATACAGTAAGGATTAAAAAGCACTGTGGCTGATCTGTGAGGAATCAACTAGACATAAACATTCTCCTATAATTCCTGTATTCAACTTGATAGTAAAAGTTGCCAGTCATATTTTCCTCCAAGAACAGGTGCCATTTTTTTTCTTTTATACTTTCTTATATTCTTACACATTTGATGTTTAAGTTAAAGGATCTTTAATTTGGGCCACCTTTGATAGAGTAAATCTTTTACAAATTAGTCTTGCAAGTCATTGGTAGTGATTTTTGAATGCAACAAAGCCAAGCTTAAATATTTAATGATTTCATGAACAGTTCTCCACAGGCTACTCTACTCTAACACAATTTCAATAATATTTGATTGGGACCATTCAGTTCCTTCTTATATATAATTTTAAAATAGCTATGAAAATCATTTTAACATTTGTTATATTTGTAGGAAAAAAGTGGTCAAAATCTGAGACATGGAAATATTCAAATTTCATCTCAAGATTGCATTGAGACATGCAACTGACAGTCACCATGTAGCATTGATTCTGATGTCCACAATGTTTATATCGAAATAACATAGATCATTAACACCATACGAAACATGAAGTCCAGTAAATTTCTAGAGTTTAACGAGAGTAAAGTTGAGCAGATTTTTGCATTGAAAAAATGTCCAGTTTTAAAAAATAATTGAGTTATGAGAGGTAATGGATACCCCATCCCCTCAAAAAAAGCTCAAGTTTAGCAGATGCACTGCTTGTTATGGTCAGATAACTCAAACTTATCTGACCCTAATGAGTGGTGTAACTGCAAAACTTGTAGTCTGACAAGTCTTTTGAATTTTTCTATTTTCTATATAGAATGTTTATTTTTGTTTCTATCTCTATTCATATCATAGTGATAAGCACATAGGTAGATATATTTCTATGCTATATTTGTGGCTTTCTAACAAGACTAAGTAAAGTTTTGTATTGGCATTATTAACTGAAGTACTTACATATATGTCCCTGGTTCAATCCCAGATAGAAGCAGTGATTTTGAATGTTGATTCTTAAGGCACCTACCAGTGTCAACCTGGAGAACAGACAAGTGCTCTTTCTACCTGCTCTGCATAGGATGGTGCTAAGGAAAAAAAAAAATTATGAATAAAAACATTTTTTTTTGTGTCTTAGAAATTTGTTTAAAAGCTTCCAAACCATTTTATTCTTTTTTTTTTCAGGTGATTGAATTCTTTAGAGGTAAAGATTTGGGTACCAGTAAACGGACAGTTGACAACACAATTGAGGTCATTCGTATGAATGTCGACTGGATGGCAAGGAATCATGTCAAAGTTTCTAAGTGGTTCCGGGAACATGGTCAATAAAGTAACCGATTCAGCAGCAAGTCCATTTACTCCAGTTTGAAAATGAAATCTTCATAAAGAATCAGTATAACCCCAACATTTTGTATTAAGGCTGTCAATAGAAAAGTGTTGTATCTTTTCTGCATCTCTATCCACAGCTAAATTACCTTCTTCTTTGCAAAATGCTTGTGAAATCTAAAGGACTTGAATCAGGAAATAAAAACTGCATACAATAAACAGGACTTGCAAATTCCCAGGAGAAAGTGAAATGATTTCTAAAACCATGCTTGAGGGAAAACGATTTCTTTGACCCGCCAGCATTTTGATATAAACTCAAGAGAGTTCAAATTAATTATTTGTAAAGAAAAATCAGAAAAAAATAGCAACAAATGAAAAAAAAGAAAAAAAAACAAACAAATAATCATGAATCCTTCACTTTTTTCTTTTCACAAAATTTATTTTTCAACTTTAAAATATGTAAATTTAAAACATTTTTTAAAGTCATTTTGAAAGAAAACTGAATTCCATAATATGTATATGTTCATTGTCATGTGTATGTATTGTTGATATGTATATATCTGTGTTTGGTGTATGTCCATTGTCTATATATATATATCATTTGTTCAAAAATTATAAACATAAAAATGTTATAACATCACAACAAAACTGGCCATTTTGTCTCAACACCATCACTTCATAAGATACCACAAGTGTTGAAACAAAATGGCTATTTTTGCAGAGATTTTATACCATGGTTATTTTATAATTTTGAATAAATATTATTTGCTCTACTCTGTATTGAGCACTTTTTAAAAAATAGTGGTTTTGGTTATCAAAATTTTATTCCATCTATACTAACCCTGTATTTGTGTGTGTGTGTGTGTGTCATATATATATATATATATGTGGGTGTGTCATATATATATATATATATATATATATATATATATATATGTGTGTGTCATATATATGTGTGTGTGTGTGTGTGTCATATATATATATATATATATATATATATATATATATATATGTGTGTGTGTGTGTGTCATATACATATGTGTGTGTGTGTGTGTCATATATAATTAAAACAAAATATGGTACATGTGTGCTTCTTAAAATATGTAGATTTAATAGGCCTGTTAATGAAATTTGAGGAATAATTTAGTCAAAACACCTAATGTATAATATATATCATATATATACATAATAAATATCATCAATCTTATTGTCAATATTGTTATTGTTTTGTTGTCTTTATTCCTCAAATTTCATTAACAGGCCTATTATATATATATATATATATATATATATTAATGCAGGTTTCATTAAATAATATAGACAAGTTTTGTCTATTTATTTTAACTAAATTCTTTTCATATTGTTTGATAAGCTTAATAACATTATCATTGAAAAATGAAAGAAAATCACCATATTGATACATGTTTTTTAATCCTATCTAAGCTTTCAGCTTACATAAGCCATTATCAAAGATGACAATTACATTTGAATATATTAAAAAATACACGAAGAAAACAATAATGATATTCTGTTTTTGTTGCATGAAAGCAACGACAAACTCGTGTATATGAGACGCAGAAGTGAAAATCGCACTGCAGCTCGTGACGTCACACATGACCACACAAGAGTGAAAACAAAAAGTATTAAGTATGGGAAGCCGTTGGTATAAACTAATGGTTTCAGTTATCAATTATAGGCATTTAAGAATATTTGTGGAGATTTCATAGTTTATTTTGTTCAGGTTAGGTTTCAACTGTTTTATGTATATAGCTTCAAGAATTTTTAGTTTTTTTTTCATGTTTAGTTGTGTTTTCAACAAGGATTTTCCTGAATTGTGCATGCGGCCAGGCATGTTGTTTTAAATGCCTAAAAATGTTAGAGTTATCACTCAAATGTAGAGTCAAGCATGGTGAAAGCGAGTTTTTGGTGTGACCAACATAAATATTATTTAATCCATTGGAGATACAATCTCCCAAAGGGCACTTGAATTTGTAAACTATGAAACATGCATCAATGAAAAAAAATGCTGCCTAAATACACACTATATATATATATATATATGCACACATGTTTATATGTAATATAATTTATATATTTTCTGCATCATGAAATTTGAAAGCAATTCATAATAATAATATTTGCTTCTTTTAATTCTGTTTTTTTTAAATAACCCAATTTCATGAATTGTATTCTAACAAAATAATGAAAATATTAATTTTTAGCTTGTAAAATATTTGTTTCAGTTTGCATTTGTTTCCCCATTTCAGCCGATCGACTTTTCTCTCATTTTTTTTTAGTCACAAAATCCAAACAGCCTTAACATTAATGGAACGTCTAAAAAGGTGTCGCTCGACTTTATCCTTGAAATTTTGGTCTCATGGTGGACTGACACAAATCCCTAATTGAAAATCGTTGGGACCAGAAACTTTTGGAGATTTTGGAATGGTAGATTAATTCCTTTGTTAGAGAAGGTCCGTATCTTTGCAATGAACCATTTGAATATTCACACTGAGTAAATTAAGGTTATAAATAATTTTATAATTTATTTGTCGATTGTGAAATGAAATGAAAAGTGCCAAAGACAAACATTTCTTCCATGCTAAAAAAATGTTTGATTTTCGGAGCTTTTTTTGGTTTCCAGACCTTTAGATAAAAATTGTGTACCTGTAATATATTGTGTGTGTGTATGTATGAGAGAGAAGATGAAAAAGTCCCTCTAGTCTGGCACAGTTATTAGCTGAATTTGATATGAAACATTCACTGTATAATGTTCCATCTTTATGATTAATGGTAACATTTAGTTAAGTGCATTGACAAGAAAAGAGACTATGTTGAAAAATATTGATTGTTAATAATAAATGCTTTTCTATTATTAGGATCTGGATTTATTGATTATATATATATATATATATATATATATATATATATATATATACACACAAATAAATATAAAAGTAGACATTGAGGTCATCACCCAGTGTTGACAGTCTGTTTGATGATTGTGTTTAAGCATAAAACAGACTGTTGCAACTGGGTGCTGACCTCAACAATGTCAATGTTAACTCATAAATATAGCATACCTTATAACTATATTTTTATCATTATATATATATATATATATAATCAGTCTACATTAAAAATTCTTTTAAGACTTAACAATATTAATTTGAAAACACAGTTTTGGATCAGGTTTTTTCTCCAAAAAGTGATACCATTTTTTAAAATATTTTCTAGTATTCTTGAACATTCAATGCTAAAATTAACTGATCTTTAATTTGGGGCACCTGTGATAGAGTAATCTTTTACAAATTAGTCTTGCAAGCCATTTGTAGTAGTTTTAGCAGTGTTATGAGACAAAGTGAAGCTTAAATATTTAAATGATTTTCATGAACAGTTTCTCCAAGGGGTTCAACAATGATACAATTTTAACTGTATAGCAGTGATTAATTAAAGAGTAATTTTAATGAGCAAGTAAGAAAAAGTAATCAAGGTTGATCTGAGCTAATTCCACATGTGTGACTGAATAACACCAGTCAGTTAAATCTATTTGTATTTTCCTTCCAATTAAAAAAAAAATCTATAAAAATGATCCTAGCAGAAAGAAGTTTTTTTGTTTATTTAGAGCTGTCTTTGATGGACAGTTGAAGAAAACGGGAAAGAGAAATTATAACTGAAAATAAAAAAAAAAAAAGAGAAAAATATTTTTTTTTCTATTAATAAGTTGTACTTGCTTTTGGTTCATTATTTCTCAGTGTATTTTTAAAAATGCTTCAATGCAAAAATGGTGAATTATTGATTATGAAATGTCGGAAATAAATTTAATATATGAAGAGGACTTAATTAGAAAACCAATTCGAACTGATTTAGTATCAGAATCTTATTTTAATTAAATAATTTCTTAATGCTTTGTATTTTATATTGGTGTCGGAAGATTTTTTTTTTTTTATTGACATGTACAAGGGAGGTAATGAAGGCCGTTACTTTCCTGCAGCAAGGGAAGTAATTCATGTAAAAAAATCAATTCGGTTATAAGTACTTTTTGGTCTTTGAATAAAAAAAAATACAATGATTTTTATTATCGTTGTGACTTTTATGAAGACATTATATTTTTACAGAAGGAAGATTATATATCCAAATGCATTCGATTTTCATTAAATTGACAGTAAAACTGTATGACAGAAACTTGGGTTTGTACTGGTGATTCTGTAGATTAGAGAAAAAAATGATAATGTTTTTATGATGAGATAAAAAGCAGCAGCCAAAAAAAAAAAAACACAAAGGTGGCAAAACATGCATTTTTTTTTACATTTTTCTGTCAATACAGTTTAAGAAATACAATTCTTTAATAACAATGATAAGACTTTAGATAATCAGAATCTTGTGTTTTGTATAAAAACAAACACCTTTGTCAGAATATAGACTGGTGTGTCAATAGCACGAGTGAGGAAACTCATCTCAGTGTTAATTTTCTTATAGGTTTAGTCTTTACTTGGTGCTCTCATATTGTGCTCTTGTGGCAGACTATATTAACTCTAGTTAATCTCACTACTCTATCTGCTATTTCCCTGGAAAATGTTCAAACAAGCTACATTCCTTAGTTCTAGTAATTTTAACCAACACAGTTAAGATCTGCTACACTGGGTTCACTGAGCATCCCCCCACCATTCCCTTTATATTTCATTTGTGAGATGTAAGCTCCACTTCAGCAACATCTTCCCATGAACTGCTACCACCTGGAATCAACTCCCAAGAAGATGTTTTCCTGACCACTACAATCTTAACCTGTTCAAGTCTAGAGTTAACTATTACCTTACCCTCATAAACTGGCCTGCTTACCGCTCAAATAGCCTCCTTCAGTAACCCTCTACCTTGAGTGGCTCTTGGGTCATTTACAAGTTGAATATTAGTAAAATAAAATAAATATGTATATGAAATATATGCACATTTTGTGGGTCCATAAGCTTTAATAAGCGAAAAATGCTAGAGTTTTAAATGTTTCCTAT